TATTATTTCATTATTTATTTTCTCTTTTTGGTATTGTAATATTTATTTGTTTTAATTAGTAAGTTTATTTTTTATGGGAATAATGATGACAAAGTTAATAAAAGGGAATTTTCAATAAAAAAATTAAAAAAAAAAAAGAAATCGTTTTGCTGTCCAAGGATAAGAAGGTCATGGGGCAGTTCAGAAAATAAAGAGGGGGAATGGAGCCAAGTAATTCTCCAGTGAAAACATCACAGTGAAAAAACACTAGTATACAGGCTCCATCAAGGGTGCGGTGAGGGATTCCGTTAGAAACGCCTTTCCTAGGAGGCCCGAGTTACTAGAATGTTCATTTATCCTTGTGGTTGAGGTGGTCTGAGTTGCGGCTTTACTGGGTGTGGCGCATTTGGACTCTTGAACCCCAGCCAGGGAAGAAAACCCCGTCGGGTGCCTGCCTCCCCCGAGGCTGCGGGGTTCCTCCCTTCTGTGCCAGACCATCGGGGGAGATAGTGCCGGCAGCTGCGGGGAAGCAGAGCTGCCGCCCGCCGCCCGCCATGGCTTCGGGGGCGCCCGGGGAGCGGCTGTGCCAGGAGGCCAGGTGCCCGGTGTGCCTGGATTTCCTGCAGAGCCCGGTCAGCGTGGACTGCGGCCACAGCTTCTGCCGCAGGTGCATCTCCGAGTTCTGCGACAAGGCCAGCAGCACGCAGGGGGGCCTCTACGCCTGTCCGCAGTGCCGGGGGCCCTTCAGGCTGGAGACCTTCCGGCCCAACAGGCAGCTGGCCAGCCTGGTGGACAGCGTGCGGCAGCTCGGGCTGGGCCTGGGGACCGCGGGGACGCGCCAGTGCCCGCGGCACGGCGAGGAGCTGAACCGCTTCTGCGAGGAGGATCAGGAGATCCTGTGCTGGGTGTGCGACACCACCCCCGAGCACAGGAGCCACCACACTGTGCCGCTGCAGGAGGCCGCCAGGTGCTACCAGGTGAGGGCCGCTGCGCGCACGCGGAGGGCTGCGGTTCCCCGGGGCCGGCGGTGTCATTCGGGAACAGGGGGGGCCGACCGAGGCAGAGGTCTTCAGAGTGCCTCGCCAGGGACAGAGCCAAGTGGCACCACCTGATCCGAGTGACCCCGCACCCTCCCCACCCTCCCCGGTCACGGCTCACATTGGGGTCCCCTTGCCTTGGCTCCGTGATCACCCCACCTTTTGGGACCCCCGTTCAGGGTCTGAAACATACCATCATTTGAGAGTGCCCCTCTCTCCCACGAAACTTTCCCTGGCTGTTTAATTTCATGCTGGTCTTCATTTTCCTGACATTGATGGTCTGGGTTCCACACATAGCACTGGTGGAGAGGGCTGTGTTGTCCAGTTGGTTCTTAGCCCCAAGGGCACACTGTTATTGCAAACACTCACTAATAACTATTATTTGTATATTGCCTTGCTTTTGCATAGTGTCTAGGTCCATGTTAATTAATATTGTCACCAAAACCACCTTGGTGTTTGAACATTGGCTAAGAATAGTGTCTG